GGGTCACAGCCTCCTGCGAGCATCCCCCTGCTCTGAAGTGGGGCTACAGGGGTGTCTGTGCCCCCCGTGACCCTCCATGGCTGCAGGGCACAGCCGTCCTCACCATAGGCTGCCACGCGGGCTGCCAGGGAGTCTGCTCCGGCACATGGAGCACCTCCTCTCCCTCCTCACTCACCTTAGTGCCTGCAGAGATCTTCCTCTCACATGTTCTCACTCCTCTCTGCTGCAATTTCTCTTCCCAGTTCTTTTTCCCTTCTCAAACATGTTATCCCAGAGGTGCTACCACTGTCGCTGATGGGCTTGGCCTTGACCAGCAGCAGGTCTGTCTTGGAGCTGGTTGGCACTGGCTCTGTTAGACACGGGGGAGGCTTTCAGCAGCTTTTCACAGAAGTCACGCCTGTAGCCCCCAGCTACCAAAACCTTGCCACACAAACCCAGTACAACAGGTCTCATCAATGGGGCAGAGCACGGAGCTCCCAGCGAGTGGAGGAGGGGAAGGAGCCCTGGTTTGGGCTGGCAGGACCCTTCACCAGAGCAGTTTGCAGCTAGATGTGGGGTGAACCACTCGCTTGATGCTATCTCCAATGGTCCTCTCTGTCCTTTATCACCTTGGCTACAAGATGTTGAGGTCACATCTCTCTATGGGGAGGCCAGTCTCTAAGCTTTTACATGCCTTTCCATCGGAGTTATCCGAGGAAATCCCAGGCAGAGAGTCCCCTACAACAATGGTGGAGGGGGGAGCCTGGCACAGATGGCTCATTCCTCTCCTGCCCTCTCTCTTAGCCCCGTCTGCCGTGCCTACGATGCACCTGCACAGCAGCACCGGGAACAGCATGACACTGTCCTGGACCCCTCCGGAGAGACCCAACGGCATCATTCTCGACTACGAGATCAAGTACTCGGAGAAGGTAAAGCCCGAGGCTGAGCAGCCTTTCCCCTCCGCCAGCCCTTCTGCTGGCTGACAGCGCTGTGGCAAAGCGGGTCCCTGCAGGGATAGAGCCTGGGGAATGTGGGAGCCAGCTGAGAAGGGGGATGGCTTCACAGAGGGGACACCCACGTCTCCCTTACAGCAAGGCCAGAGCGATGGCATCGCCAACACAGTCACCAGCCAGAAGAACTCGGTGCGGCTGGATGGGCTGAAGGCCAACGCTCGGTACATGGTGCAGGTCCGGGCACGCACCGTGGCTGGATACGGCCGCTACAGCCTCCCCACGGAGTTTCAGACAACTGCGGAGGACGGTAGGTACCGGGACCGGGCTGCCTGCATCTCTTCAACACATCCTTCTTGTCCAGCTTAGCTTTGATTCCTGCTTCTCCCTCCACCAGGTTCCACCAGCAAGACTTTCCAGGAGCTGCCTCTCATCGTGGGTTCGGCCACGGCGGGGCTGCTGTTTGTCATCGTGGTGGTGATCATCGCTATCGTCTGCTTCAGGTACTGGCTTAGCAGGGGGGGGGGAGGTTCAGACCTGGGTTTTGGAGGTTGTTTGTGCCTGGCCCAGAGCTTTCCCCCTTGTCTGTGGGGAGCTTTGGCGGCTCCAGTCTGGGAGTGAAGGACTGGACCTGCCGTGTGTGGGTACCAGAGCATGGGTCCTGTGGGAGGACCCTGCATCTCTGCTCCCCCGGCATCAGCTGGGGCTCGGCCCAGGCTCCTGCCATCCTCTCGGCACAACTAGGCCGTCTTCTTCCATGGCGCCTCGGGTGGAAGGATGGCTCCGCTGGCGGGCTGCCGGAGGGAGAGCTCTCTGGCATAGGCCTTCTGTGCTGAGATTTGGAAGCTGGCAGCAATGTCTTTGCCCCGTCAGGAAAGGGATGGTTACTGAACACCTCCTCTCATCTCCTTTGGGCAGGAAGCAACGCAACAGCACAGACCCTGAATACACAGAAAAGCTGCAGCAGTACGGTGAGTGTGAGAGCCCAGCAGAAGGGCTCTGCTTGCCCTCTCCAAATCCCTGCCCCCTGCACAAGCGAAGGGGCAGCCTTCGCTAGCCAGGGACCAGGAGGGGTGGGCTGACAGCCGGCCAAGCTGGCTCAGCATCTGTCACCCGTGTGGCATCCCTCCCGGTGATGACTCCTCTGCCCTTGCAGTCACCCCTGGGATGAAGGTCTACATCGACCCCTTCACCTATGAGGACCCCAACGAAGCCGTCCGGGAATTCGCCAAGGAGATTGACATCTCCTGCGTCAAAATTGAAGAGGTCATTGGAGCAGGCAAGTCCCGGGGCTTGGGCACGGCAGCTGCTGAGGCTGCCGCCCCTCACCCTGCTGTCTTGGTTCACTGTGTCCCCCCCTCCACCCCTTTCCCCACCCACAGGGGAGTTTGGCGAGGTGTGCCGCGGGCGCCTGAAGCTGCCCGGCCGCCGCGAGATCTTCGTGGCCATCAAGACGCTGAAGGTGGGCTACACGGAGCGGCAGCGGCGAGACTTCCTGAGTGAGGCCAGCATCATGGGCCAGTTTGACCACCCCAACATCATCCACCTGGAAGGTGTGGTGACCAAGAGCCGCCCTGTTATGATCATCACGGAGTTCATGGAGAACTGCGCGCTCGACTCCTTCCTCCGGGTGAGCCCCCATCGCCTCCTGCCCCGGGCTGGGGGCTGCAGCACGTGGGGAGCAGTGGCTCTGAGCCCCTCTGCACCGTCATGCTGGCATCGCCAGGGCTAAGCTGTGCATAGAAATCCTGGGGTCGGGGAAGAGGGATGGTTCTAGGGAGGAGGAAGGTGGTGACAGCACACTGGGACCCTTCCCCAATCCATTTGGGGTGTTGCAAACCCCTCTGGTCTCTCTTCTGGCAGCTGAATGATGGGCAGTTCACGGTCATCCAGCTGGTGGGAATGCTGCGAGGCATCGCCGCCGGCATGAAGTACCTTTCGGAGATGAACTACGTGCACCGGGATCTGGCTGCCCGCAACATCCTGGTCAACAGCAACTTGGTCTGCAAAGTGTCCGACTTCGGGCTCTCTCGCTTTTTGGAGGACGACCCAGCTGACCCCACCTACACCAGCTCCCTGGTATGGGATGCTCGAGGGGGATGTACCCATCCAGGGCTGGAGGGAGACACCCCAGGTATGTGCTAAATAACGGAGCTGTGTATCCGTGCAGGGAGGCAAGATCCCAATCAGATGGACGGCTCCCGAGGCCATCGCCTACCGCAAATTCACTTCGGCCAGCGATGTGTGGAGTTACGGCATCGTCATGTGGGAAGTGATGTCCTATGGGGAGCGACCCTACTGGGACATGTCCAACCAGGACGTAAGTGCTCCCTGGGGAGCGGGGAGCCAGGGGCCACCCGTGGGAGCCCAGGTAGCTCACAGCTTGCCTCCGCGTGTCTCTCCGCAGGTGATCAATGCGGTGGAGCAGGATTACCGCCTGCCACCCCCCATGGACTGCCCCACAGCGCTGCACCAGCTGATGCTGGACTGCTGGGTGCGGGACCGCAACCTCCGGCCCAAGTTTGCACAGATCGTCAACACGCTGGACAAGCTCATCCGTAACGCTGCCAGCCTGAAAGTTATCGCCAGCGTCCAGTCTGGGTCAGTGGCATCCCCGCCTCCAGCCAGGACTCCCCCCAAGCCTGGGGAATGCTGGGGTGGTTGGGACAAGAGATGTGGGAGGGCAGGAATAGGGTATCTCCCCTGCTTCCACTTTACAACTGTCCCTGCTGCCTGTGACCTGTGGCTCTTTTGCCCTTTAGCATCTCCCAGCCGCTCCTGGACCGCACTGTCCCGGATTACACCACCTTCACCACTGTGGGAGACTGGCTGGATGCCATCAAAATGGGACGGTACAAGGAGAACTTCGTCAATGCCGGCTTTGCCTCCTTCGACCTGGTGGCGCAGATGACTGCGGAGTAAGTCCCTGCGGAGAGGAGGGGGAGGGCTGGGGCAGCGGCGCGTTGGCCCTTCTCCCTCGCCTCTCCAGCCTGCGTGGGGTTTTCCCGAGTGGGTTAAGGTGTGGGATTGGGCATCCAGTGGTGTTACGGGGACACTGGAGCTGGGCAGAGGGGTGCGGTGAAGGTGGTCCCTCGGCAGCAGCCAGACGTGTCAGGGCCACGTGTGGGTGTCGCTGCTGGTGGGGGGCTGAGCGTTCACCTTCTCCTTGCAGAGACCTGCTGAGGATAGGGGTGACACTAGCAGGGCACCAGAAGAAGATCCTGAGCAGCATTCAGGACATGAGGCTGCAGATGAACCAGACGCTCCCGGTGCAGGTTTGACCGGAGGGGACTCTGCATTGGAACGGACCGAGGGAACCTGCCAACCAGGTTCAGTTTGCGGTGCAGCCCGGCTTCCCGTTTCCCCTTTCACACGGCGCTCCTCTGCCTCGGACGGTCGCCTGGGACGGGACGGGACGGGCCGCCCTTCCTTGGATCGGAGGCACTCGTGCCGAGAGGGAGCCCAGCTTTTCGTCCCGTGT